CCCATGGTCGCTTAGATATACACTTCTAATTTTTGCGATGAGAACAAAGCCTTGACAAGCAAATGTAGGCCACCACACTAAATGATCATGGTGAACGCAGGAATACGATACTCGATTAGCTGCTCGCATGCATATTGGTTGGTGGAGTGCAATGAAGATCATAACTTATTTCGATGAGTGTATGCATCTTTCACACTAATTCAGAGTTCACATCAAGGTTTCTTACGGGAATTGCTAGAATTGCTGATCATCAATATTTCGCTGTCCGTGGTGTGTTACATGATTTAGGGCTAAATGACGGCGCGGGCGTTGCAGACCAGGGGTCAAGAAGCCATTCCTAATTCTAGTGCTATATTGCCAGCAACAGCAGAAAAAAATTTTGTATTCCCTTCTCTGGATTCGTTCTTCCCGTTTTGCGTGCGAAGAAGATCAAAGTTGGTGAATTCAGAAGCGGCAAGCAAGCACTAGAGTTCTTCACGAACATTAGTGATAAATCTGCTATTCAACTTTCATAATGTACAAGCCTAACCTTCCCAGGGTCGTAAATATCGACAATAAAGCATACACTCAAACCAAGTATCGAGTGATAACCTATTGCTCTCCTTTCTGTTTGAGTTATATGATGCCTAGATGAGGAGTATGTGTGTATGACCATTTACTGATCCGGTATCTTTCCCTCGAACACTACGTCGCGCTCGCCGCACCCGCCGGGTATCGCAGAATTGCGAGGGAATATAGGAGCGCGCGATTTTTGAGTTACGGAATTCTTCAATTATTTGAATTTGCTGGCCGCTTCTTTTAGATCCAGTGCGGTGTTGATCGCCGATAATATAAAAGGAGTCATTTCAAACAATCGAATCTAATAAAAACAAAAACGAAAAAGAAACAGGAGAAATAACCAAAACCAATAAAAAGAAATACAGCCAACGAAATATATTGCGTCCTATAGATTGGAGGATAGGCGGGACGAGTACGGTAATTACAGTTTGAACCGCGAGACAACCGAAAAAGATTAGCCGCATGCCGCAAAGCAAAAGGGAAATCGGTAAGAGGTTCCGTCACCACCATTTACTGGTTATCTTCATTACTAGTAGAAGAATGCTTCCGAACTAGCAAATGATAAAACAATTCAGATGATGATGCTACGATTGATGATTATCGTCATTCACCACTCCATCAGTATCACCACCACGGAAACATTGACTGCGGAAAATGATCCATAATGAATAATATGCTCACCTTATATAATAAATATGATTTATACAAACCATAAGTTTGGGGTATCCGTTGTCTGATTGTCCGTTTGTGAGTCTGTTTGTCCGTCACAAAATTCGGTATCACCTAAAGAAGCACCTGGAGAGATCGGGACAAGTTCGGGATAGGTGGAGCTCGATTCAACTAAGGCGTAGGGTTCAGAAAAAAAAACAAAAGGAGTGCACAAGACTTAATATGTGCTATGAGTGCGTAACTAAGCTCCGCCTGCATTCAAATGAAAGGTTTCAAACTATACATAACTTTATGAAAGAAACATTTCAGATAGGGGAAAAGGGTGGGCAAAGGCCTCCGAAAGGATGTGGTCAAGTCTTCGAATTGGGCGGGTTTTGCGCTGAAGCGGGCGGAGCCATGATCAAAAATTCATAACCCTGTTCAAAAGCGTTCTGTATCACGGAAAAAGGTTGTCAGAGGCAATGGGAGGAATGCTGTCATATCCCTAGAGAGGGCGGGGGTTCGCGCTGAGGTGGGCGGAGCTGTGATCAAAAGTCCATAACGCTGCTCAAAAATCTGTTGTTGGAGGGTATGGAAGATATGTGGTCAAATCCCCAAAATGGGCGGGTTTAGCGCTGAGGTGGGCACAGCCATGATCAAAATTTTATGACTGTTATCTAACATAACAAAAAATGTTTACAGTGCGGAGAAAATGTAGTTAGAGGTTATGGAAGATTATGTATAGTAAGAATATGTGGTCAAATCCCTGAAGTGGGCGGGGTTTGCACTGAAAGAGGGGATAGCTATAAGCAAAAATTCATAACCCTGTTCAAAATTGTTCGACAACGCGGGGAATAAGTTGCTAAAGGTTGTAGAAAAAATGTTACCAAATTTTGAAAGTGGACATCGTTTGCACAAGACTAGGTGGAGTAACGATTAAAAATTTCTAACTCTGTTTAGAAATGTTCTACAGCTAGAAGAAAAAAGTAGCGAGAAGATATCAAAGAAGTGTGGCCAGATCCTCGGCGGAGCTAAAACCAAAATTCATAGCTCTTTTCAAAAATGTTCTACAACGCAGGAAAAAGAGGGCAAAGGTTCCGAAGGAATTTTTGTCGTATCCTCAAAGTGAACGGGATTTGCATTGATGTGAGCGGGCTAATATGGGAAATCAGTAACTCCTTCAGAACGATTTCTAAACGGTGAAGAAAAAATGGTCGGAGGCTACCGAAGAAGTTAAGTCGAATCCGTAAACGGTCGGAGTTGCGCCGACATGGCGGGCGGGACTAAAAAAGACCAAAAAAATCTTAACTTCGTTTAAAAAGGTTCTAGAACACGGGAGAAAACAATGGCCAAAAGCCACTGACGAAATGTAGTCGAATCCCCAAAGCGGGCAGGCTCTGGGGCTGGCGGGGCTGCGATCAAAAATTCATAACTCTTTTCAAAATGTCCTACAACGCGTGAAAAAGTGGTTGGACTCCATAGAAATGTAGTGGTCAAATCTCTAGAGAGGGGGGGGGGGGGGGGGGGGGGNGGCTGCAGCGCAATGGGTAAGACTACAACCAAAGGTTAACGATTCTGTTCGAAGTTGTTTTGAAGCGCTGGCTGGAAAGTGGTTCGGACGCTACAGAAGGAGTGCAATAAAATCACCAGAACGACCGCTGTTTTCTTCACGGTGGGCGGGGTAAGTTCGATAGTTCAAGACTCTGCTCTAAATTGTTTTGAAACCCGGAAAAGTGGTTAATCCATAGAAATCCTTGAACGGTGTCCACTGGTTACCATATGTAAACCACATATGTCTATATGGCTGCTGGTCTGTTCGCCTCTTGATATTTATCACCCCTTTACAATGTGCCTTCCTGGAATAGAAGTGGAACAGATTAGCCAGGATGAAAAAAGTGATAATGAGTCAAGTTACTTGGGAATCCATGATCTGATCTAGGCTCCAAACAGGGAGAGCGTTTAAATTTGGTAGGAGTATAGGGGAGAAGGGGAACTTTGAGAGTATGTGGCAGGACCAGAGGCTCCCTACTCAGTGTGGGGCATGCGCAAAAATTGCTACTTCAGAATAGAGCGTTCAAATTCGAAGGGAGTGCAGGCGGTATAATGAGAACACTGATCGTAGGTGACGGGACTAGACACCGCTCACTGGAGGTGGGATGTGCGAAAAACTGCCTCTACTCTGAAGCCAGAGCGAAATCAGAAGGGATGGAGACAGGCGGCAAGACTGGGAGGGCGTGGAATCCGAAGATGGTGATCCTAATCAGAAGCTTTCCGAATTACGCACCGTTAATTCACAGCTTCGCTCACTACAGACGTGAGGAATACAGGTGTGAAGAGACTTACGCTGAGGGGATGTTGGGCGATATACTGATTTGCTACACCTATCCGTTGTGTAATTGAACGAAAAGTGGCCGCTTTGTTCCCTTCAATGGTATAGTGTTCCAACTCAATATTTACTGCACGATAAATAGCTGGCATGGCTGCGTCTCACTACCCTTTATTTCAAGAAGGAAAGGTAAGGAGTGATGATAGGCCTATGTGCGTCGGTGTGTGTTCCCTGGAAAGTCATAACTCCTCTTCTCGTGGATCTAAAGCGTTGAAGTTTGGTAAGAGTACAGGTGGCAGGTAAGTGGCTTCACTATCTCTGTCTACAGGAGTGGGCCGTGCGCATAAACTGTTTATTTGTACCAGGGGCTTCCAAGTTCGATAGGGGTACAGGCAGCTTACGGGAGTGCTGCGGCAGGTGAGACGACTGAAGATGAAAGGAGAGTGGAATGAAGCAAGTGTACTACACGATGTGTCTGCTACTCGCTACTAATTTTTTTTGACAAGAAAATGTAGCGAATGATGATAGACCTATGTGTGCCGGTGTGTGCGTTGGTGTGTTGGTTACCTGAATGGACATCGCTCCTCTTGCTATGGACCTAGAGCGTTGAAGTTAGGTAGGAGTTCAGGTGGCAGGATAGAACCATTGCACGTAGGTCGTACGACTAGATTCCACCTACAGAGGTGGGGCATGCGCATAAATAATAAACTTGGGCCTAGATCGTTCAAAGTTGATAGGATTTCCATAATTCCTTTCGTGGCGGAGCGTCTGAATTTTGGAGAGTGTGGGCGGCAGGCCAACTTTACACGAGAAGGAGGAGAGCCCGGCGTTTGCCGGGCGACCTGACTGGTATGAATATGATTGGCACACTCATCACACTAGGTATGATAAGTATCAGTTATTCCATAACTGCCACCAAGCCGTACAGTTACATGGGCTCTATCTATTATCAAATAGAGGAGTCCAGAAGAAGTCACTCGAATCATTGATCGGTGAGTGCACAGCTCCACAAGACCGTTGCACGTGATGATGTGTGGTCATGCTGACGGTAATTGCTGCCAGATGCATGGGCAGCACCACATACAAAAATTTTCAAAGCTATTCTCTCGAATTTGTATTCATTTTATTGCAGCTAGAAAGATATGAACCCGTATAAAAAGTAGGATGTTGATAGAATCTACTCAAGTTCACATATTGAAGGCGATATTTGAGCGTTTGCAAAATTGACAGTAAGAAAGCGAGGGCAAATTAGATCAGTTATATCATTAGAAAAACAACAAAACACATTTGGAGAGTGTTGAGCGAAACATACAAAGCTGCAGTGCATAGGCAAAGAGATGCTATGGTTGTTCCAATGAATGATTTTTAGAGAAAGGACAGCATAAGTTGCACGCTCAAAGCGATTATTCATGGAAGTAGCTTGGAATTAGAGTTTCTCATCAGAGATATCCGTCTTACGAACCCGTAGTTATGGGCCACCGCTACATGAATAGGAATCTGTGTCACGAAAGGTCTGATATTTCTTGTACTGCTCAAAGTGGTACTGCCAGTCCATGATGTACTCATTCTGCCACTTGTCCATTTGCTGTTTCCAAAGCATGAACGGATCTCCAACGTCAGCTGAAATCAGCGCCATTCATTGCCATTAAAAACGAGCATGTTGACTACTATTTGTTGATTTTTGCTAAAAAGGCCGTTGGACGAATTCTTTGGTCTCGTATGGTTTGATACATTCAATCTTCCAAGTTCTTTGAAGGCCTGAAACAAGCTCTAAGCTTTCAGATCGTAACTATCTCGGCATCCACTTCTTTTAATTTGGTGTTTCTTAATCAGGTAACAAATGCTGATGGAAAAAAATTCTGCAATACTTCTACTCCCTGAAGATTCCTTTGATAGCACAGAGCCACAGTGAGCAACAGCTGATAGATTTTATTACAATATTAATTTGAGCGAATGAAACACGCTGTGCTTCACTGTGCACTACAAGTGTGTCAAAATGTTGTTACACGTTTGTGCCCATCACACTTCACATTGTTGTACAAAAAGTAGGAAAATGATTGTGATCAAGGTAATTTTCACTAGGGCCTACTCGATTATGGCATTCTTGCAGGAGAATCAGAGTGTTTCCAATGCTTTTTCAAATATATCGTCTCTTGCACAGTGATAAGACTCCCGCTATCGAAGGTAAAACTTCCTTGCTTCCTAATCTTAGACTTTTCAAGGGAGGAAAGAGGAATAAAAAGCCTACTACCGCCTGAGTTTTTTCAACGCTAACATCCATTCTGCTTCTTACTTCCAAAATGGACAGTTCGGACAGTGTTTTTGGGTAGCCCAGATTATGATGAAAAATGGAAGACAAGATGAAAAATAGTGCGATGAAGGCGAAGAAAGTGCGTGAATCGGTTTTCCCAAGATGAAAAGATGCTTCGAAAAAATTGTAGCTGGACGAGAATGAGATTGGAAAAATGAAATAGAATGGGGCATTTGGACGAGCATACAATGTGTATCACCGCGTACATGTGGGTCGTGGTGCGAGTAGCTGACTACAATAGGCAAAAAAGTCTCTTGAAATTCATTCACTTATAAGCATAAAATGACAAAAAAAACTCTAGTAACAGCAAATTTAGCCCACCTTTTTCAGCTTCTTGAGGTGGAAAACTAGAATAAGGATTGCAGCAGCAAGAAGAATAAAAGAGAGAAATGGGAAAGGAGAGAACATCGCCTCATTTCTAGGCAATCAGCTGATGTCGCGCTGAATGGGTGGGTCTTGGCGCGGATATAGCAATCTGCATCACCTCGACACTCGTCTGACACAACATTAGTGGATGGGCGGGGCAACCGGGCGATCAGGTAATGGAGCTCCCACTATGCCCCAGCTCTTGGGTTTGGCACCCAAGAGCATCCTTCCTGTGCAACTGGGCATTCCTAGAGGGAGAACTCAGAAACCATTTTTATCGTGAAATTGTGAACTGTGCCTTTAACCTACTGAATTACCCCGTACGCTTTATGATTTCCACACATGTCATGAGGGGAGCAAACATATTCGAAGTCACATTGCCTATCGTGAACTCAACCGCAAACAAGTAGTGTTACGATGTTTCGACTGGCAATGTTTGCTAGAACATTATCATTTTACAACTCTACTGGCACCAAACCGCCATGTAGCGCAAAGTTGGCTCACAATCAGTCGAAGACGAACGGGAAGCGTATACTACTGACATTTAGGGTTATGTTCCCAATAAGAGCAGCAGTGTGAGAAGACATCAAGCAAATCGAGATACTTCCACGAATATGTGCCATCATTCCTGCCCTTTACCTTCTGCCCCATATACCACTAAACGAGTTATCTCTGTGTTGGATCATGATGACCAAGTGGTCAAGTGTTCTTCACATAAGTGCCATAATGGTGCGTGAATAATCAAAAATGATCACAAGCATTCATTCACGTGGAGCTTGTCGTAAGGCAGATATCGAAATTCCCTTAGTTTTTAAAAAGCCATCATATTATATCGTGGTGCGAGTAGCTGACTATAATAAGCGGAAAAGTCTCTTGAAATTTTGAAAAAGTCGAATGTCTTCTGCCTTCCGACTTTTCAAGCGCCTAAGTAAGTTGGAATTGTTGTGTTTTAGTGAGCACTAGTCTAATGGGATCTGTTTGTAACTTTAGTTTGATTTTTCAACCTCGTTCTCTAGCGTTTGCCTTATGGACAACGTTATAAATAAATAAATAATAAATAAATAAATAAATAAATAAATAAATAAATAAATATTAGAGACTCCAACTCAAATTCCAATTCAAATAATTGATATCAATTCAGTTGTATCTGACAGAGAGTGGTCAGCTATCGTCTATCTGAGTGGGGTATTCCCACAGACGACTGAGTAGGGGTGAACGACATCCCGTCTCTCGTGCGGAAGTCACTACCAACATTACTCGTTATTTTGCCAGCGATTTATAGATGACGTGCAATTACGATCATGTGAAGGCGAAGATAATCATTTCAATCACCTCTCAATACAGTTATCGCAAAGTAATTAACTGTAGAAACTGCACAGAACTTTAATAATAGCCAATCATACCAACGGCCGTCATGAGATTAGGTAGGTATGCTTTCCAAAATGCGCATTGTTTTCGTCGTGGTCCATGACCGGTTCGTCGTGAATTTGGATATGCCGATTCAATAGTCATGTTCATGTATTCCATTAATTGCCCATTATACTTCGGCCATACGTCCGTAGTATAGGTACCGTCTTCGTTCTTATTTGGATCTCTAAAAACATTTCATTATATGATCAAATGAAAAAGTGAAATAAACTCCAGAAGGAAATCAAAATGCTATCCACGCCTCGATGCATTTCGTGATTTGAAAACGCTCTCAGCACAAAAAAAAACACGACGATAATCCTTGTAGTGATGCCAATGAGAACTAACAGTAAGTAGAACTGTTACTCGGGGCTACCTTAACTAATAACACAACTACACAGAAAAACCAGGCCCTCCAATGACTGGCTGTCACAGATCTGGCGCACTAGGTGGTCGATAAGTAATCACACTGTTGTACAATGTTTTGCAAACTGATTTATCAATGCTATGAAGGCCTATTGTTGAGCCTTACACTCTGTCGTGCCGTTCGGACGACTTAAAGGCCGCCTCGCCTGGGCGCGCGCGTAGTCCCGCCGGGAAGGCACCGTACGCCGCAGAAAGCTAGAGTTTGCCACGTGGCGGCGGACTCTAGCCGCTCTAGGCGTTGCATCCTTCATTTCACCATCGTGTCAACGCCGCGGACGGCTGCTTTCTCGGCTGCTCTTGCGCCTTCAACGTCAGCAACACCGACGAAGCCCCCGATGGGCTCTCAACACCACTCGTATGCCATCTCTAGAGTGGTGACAAGCTGCAAGGATCGAAGTCGAATGGAACAACTGGAAGACGGTCCACTGCCATCAAGGACACGGATGCAGCGTAGCCCCAAAGGAGGTGGGAAGGCTTGGATGGGACATGGATAAGCTTGAGACTGGATCGTACCCCCGACCGTAGGTTATAGTGTGGTTTAATTCGTGTATATATTTTCTTACCTTTTATTCATAGTATTTTGCCATAGTATTTGCTCACAGTATTCTCATAGTATTTCTCTCCATTTATCTGTATTGCAATCAATACCATATCGACGTAGTATTCATAAAATGCATATCATACAAGTGTGCTGGAGTTGCGTAGAATGTCAGTAACATCGGATATATCGCAGTTATCCTTGAGCGCTGAGGGTAGCACGTAGGCCACGGTGGAACCCCTCTTGCCCAGTGTCCGAGGGAGCTCGGCACTGGGCCAGCAACCCCGTAGCGTACTGCGGAGGCAGTACCATCCACGTAGGAGCCTGCAAGGGAGACTGGGGCAGCCCTAGGCCTACCAAGTCCGTGTGGCAGTAGAATACGAGCATGGCGAGCGGGCAGAAGACCCTGGTCACCTAGCCGCACCGCCGGGGACGCCCTGCCGAGCAACCACCGATGCGGACTGGCCTCGGCGGGACGCTCCCGACGGCGCGACATGGCGCATCGGACTGGGGTTCAACGTGTGGGAAACCCACGTTGGGCCTTAGTGATCGAGCCCGTACATGCTCGCCTTCACCGCTTGGTCTCCGGGGCAGAGGACGCGCAGTAGGTTGATAGGTGTCAACTGGCCCCCGGGTACGTCGGCCGCCAAGGGGGTTCGCCCTTCTCTTCATGTGGGATTCTAGTCCTCACCTGCGTCGGCTTGAGTGGCACAGGTCGGCGTAGGGACAGCGTGTATTCGTTGGGCTAGGGTCCTCCCGGGTGGGAGAAGAGGTTGTTTACCACCCCTCCTGGAGGTTCACATTACTCCTTGTATCAGGCCACATGACGTATGCGTGGGTCAGAGGGCACGGGTTGTAGCTGTACTAATCTGTCCCCGTGAGCAGCCTGCTACTTCGGGATCCCTTGTAACTCCTGCGTTGTCTTCGTAGTTCGCTCGGTTGTTCGTGTCATCTCCGGTTCGCCTGGCCAGCGTCGCGTTTCGCATTCTCGTACACCGCCGTAGGGAGCCATCGGCCAATGGTTTCCCTCCGGCCCAGCACACATCCATTGTAGTCCCCTTTTAGATTGGGTACGGCAGTACCACCTCCTGCCAAGCGATCAATATGTCCTCAATCAGCGCATCCACGCAGAATCTGACCAAGGCAGTAACAGCATGGGAGAATGTGAAAGGTAAGATTCCTCCTTCGGCATTGGAGCCCATAGCTGCGCAAATCCACACTACGCGAAGCGCTCGAGTCGCAATATGCCATCATCGATTCGCACGCAGCACAAGTTCGCTCCGCGTTGCGCACGCTCATCGAGAGGCGTCAAGTGTTTCAGGAGTTAGTCAGGGACGCAGCCGATCAAGACCCCGCAGGCGAAGAACATCACGCCTTTCTTCAGAGTTCGCGCGTAGATGAAGCGATATCAGCAGCGCAGGGTCTCCTACTACGTCTAGATACGCGCATGGATGAACTTAAAACACTCATCCATAACAGTTCTACTCCAATTCCATCAGGGGTAACGCAAGACGTAGGCAGTCAACAACATCGACGAGAGCACTCAGCCTCAACATCTAGCGCTAGTACGCGGACTAATTCGTATGTTTTACCGCAGCGTTCGCATGACGTATCCAACCTATTTTCGCATGCAATGTCACCCTCTATCCCATCTCATAGTGTTCGATGTCAGCGTGTCCAGCCGCACAGCTGGATAAACTCACGCTTAAACCATTTTCAGGGGACATCACGCAGTTCCATAGGTTTTGGCGTACATTTGAGCTAGCGGTACATAATGATACCAACATAGCGCCAGTTTATAAGTTTTTATATTTGCAAGGCCTACTTAAAGACGAGGCCAAGATAGTTCTCCAGGACCTCGATCCGGATGAGTGCAACTATACGAAGCTGGTGAATGCTCTGAAGAGGAGGTACGATCGCCCTGACAACTCGCGTGCCACCCTTCATAGACAGCTCCAACAGTTTCCGATGGCTCGCAATATCGGATCGGATCTTCGGAACACTTGGTTCCGCCTCTCAGGCATTCTCCATAGTTTACGCAGATACGAGGATTTTCGTTCAATTTCGCCTATAATTGACTTAGTTAAAGGTAAATTTCCAGCGGAAATCCAGCAGAAGCTGCATGATCTCGAATTCCAAAGCCAACAGGAGTTCGATCTCGATCAGATCATGAAGCAGCTCGACAACATCATCGCGTCCAAGGAGAAGTTCGAAGACTCCACCACCTTTATAGAGGATCGTACTGTCAGCTCCTCTAGTCATCAGCGAAGTTCGTCACGTTCTCCATCGGTATCACGACGGACGCCCTGCCGAGCAACCACCGATGCGGACTGACCTCGGCGGGACGCTCCCGACGGCGCGACACACTCTTCCACATACCTGCTCAGAAGAGTGTAAGGCTAAACACTAGGCCTTCATAGTATTGATGAATCACAGCATGGCATTTAATTGCTCAATTTTCAATACAACAAAAAAGGTGGTTCTTGAACAACTTTTTTTTCGTTTACAGACAACATGGCGTTCCATAGCATTCACTTCGTAGTCTTGGCAAATATCTATGGTGTAAAGACGTATAAGTACAAGTGTGAATGCAAATACAGTTACATATAAATGTAAGTACACATAAATACATAAAAAAATAAGCAAGTGTCCCCAAATTTCTACATCAAATTAAACCAAAAACATGCAGGGTGAACTGCACAGTAGCTTGCTACAATTTGGTAGGCGAAGGAGATGGTGTTACTATTTTTTTCAAAGCTTCCAGTGGCCGAAGGCGTGATGAACTAAAACGTCAAAGCTCAACCTGCTGAAAGAAAAATTTTCACAGTTTTTTTTCGAAAAGTTTAACAAAGCCAGAAACGAATTTTACGCCTTGAAGCGTAATTTTTGATTGAACTATGATAAAAAATATTAGGTTGGAAAAAAAGATCTGCGACAAAAAAATCTAAAGCGTTGGAAATTCGTATCAACAGTGCGAATACGGTAGCTAGGGCGATAAATTTGTAGGACATTCCCCGGGCAACCAACACCTGGGTAAATAAGAACACGCGTGGGCTATCGCAGCATTACGGCCAATAAATGGCTTTGCTCACCGATCAGTGGTCAACAGTCGGTTCTTGGACCGATTCAGGAAATACTAGCCTTCGAAGTAACGCTTGTATCGTCCCTTACTTTAACACGTTGGCGACCGCAGCCTTTTTTGACCACGCGCCGCGTGGAACATTCCATTTTTTGCGTCGTTTAAAATATATAAAATACTTCACAAGAATATTATCACTTTTATCCTGCGTCCCGGCATCGGAACGCATTGTCCCAGAGAGCCAAAACGTGCGTTCTAGCATAGGGACGCATGGTCGCCAACGTGTTAATAGAGGTTAGAGGGATCCATCCACTGTGAGTTGCTAAACGCAGACTAGGTGGACACAGCTATCGCTTCTCCTATGAAATCCTTTACTTAGCGAAAGGGGTTCGAGAAGGAAGGTCAAAATGATAAGTCAACAACACAATTACAGTCAAATAACCTCTAATTGGAACAAGCTGAGCAATAGCATCAGTTAAAGGAAGCTGCCACTAATGAAATCATCTCTGTTCTATGAGTGAGCATCATCGAATATTGTGAAGAACAGCACAGCTGTGAAATAGATAGTAGGTGTGCGTGAAGTCCGTCGCAAAATACGTAACGCAATACAATGCCCACCCTAATTACTAAAAAAAAAGGCGGAAAAAGCAGATTCCCGTATTTCCGTTTTTCTTTATAAGTGGGTAAGTTTTCGCTTTTTTCACATATGATGTTATATATAGTTCAGCTCAGCTCGACGAGCTCCATAAAATGGTTTACTGAAAAGCTAATAAACTCAAAATTCGAAGTCCTCGGCCCATCAAAGTTCAGAGGGGCACGTCATTAGCAGCGACGCTCGCTATAATTATAACCAGCAGGCATTCCCTTCTATTGAAGGTGTTGTGAAGCATCCATCAAATTTCAAAACTTAACAAGAAAAGGAATTCCTCATGCCTTACTGATCATTTTGATTCCAATTTTTTTCTAAAATTGACTAATATGGTCATGCGCATATCTCGAACGGAAGCGGCTTTTCAAAGTGAAAAATAGCAAATCTGAGCTAGTTCCTAGTGTCAATGAAAGAGGAACCTATACTTCACAATTAGCCCTTATCTGTTGTTCGCAAATTGTATGCCTGAGTTCAAGAAGAAAAGCGATTTCGTCGCCCAAATCCCGGCTTGCGGCATATTTTGACAGAGATCGTACGTTATCTTGCCTTTTCAATTGGCACTTACGATGTTCAGAGGAATGTTGCGCAGTTCATCAATGAAACGCTTACGAAGTTCCTAGAGCATATTCATGATCTGTAGGAAGTAGTTAATTGTCTCGAAACTCTCCCTTCATTTTGACTTCTGAAATCACCACAATTTACTCAAGGCTAGAACTCAATTTTTTTGTTCGGAGAAAAATTCTGAGAACCTGGAAAATTCTGAAATTTGACATAGGTGAACTCCAGTCATAGTGCTACTCGGCAATACAAAAATCATCTCACAAAATTCATACCGAATCAACACCTTCACCACCCATTCTCTACACTGCTCACTCACTCGATCACCCTAATCGATCCCTGATCGCCTTCGCTATTGTTCTCTCCTTCCATTAAGGTCACACGCGATGTCAGACATCGTTATATGTAGTTATATGTAACCTGGATGAGAGGCTCGACGCTATCAAAGGTACGCTTTAATTATTAGGAAATAGAAAAAAGTTCCATCGAGTGGTTGAACATAGAAGCATTAAAATACTTTACTTCATCATTTTTCGGCATGCTTGTAAATTATTAATTGATTCCTGTGTTTTAGTGAATGTTAGCCTACATTTCAAATTCATACGCAGTTGTTCCTTCAAATATACAGATTGTAAAAAAGTTTTACGACTGGTACCATTAATGAGCAGCCTATGGTCGAGGTGCGAAGAAACCCTCGCGGTTATTGCCACAGGAGTTGCTGAGGTCAGTGGTCATGCCTATGAATATTGGAGGTGCTGTAGCCAGCCTCAACGACGAGCGCAACGACTTCGAATAATAAAAATGAAAGAGTAGAAACACATATACCATAATAGCACTGCCAATACGCTCCACTTTGACGGGAAACTTCAACTAATTGTCTTCAGAAAGAATAGGGAACAGGTAAGAAGTCATGAAATGACTTATCAGAAACCAATGAACTAAACGAGCGACCTTGTTGTATTGTTGCGGCAGCCAGTGAACTAAGCGACCTTGTTGTGTTGTTGCGGCAGCCAGCACTAGCCATTATCAAGTGGTTGGCCTCAGTTTTCAAATGTCCAACCGGCCATTTGACGCAGAGGGAGTGCTTCGTCTCTTGTCTGCCCCAGACTTAGGGCTTTGGAGTTCGGATTCCCCGTCTTACATAAGGTTTGCAAAGGGCTAAGAAACGTCGTTGGCTAACGATGTGCGCTCTGCGCTCCGCGCTAAGTTGCCCGGCTATTAGTGGTAATGCCGGCAAAGTGCCGTATACTTGATAGCATTCCGAATGATGATGGAATAAAGGGTGTAAATGCTTCTATCAGCTTTCACGGATATTCTTTCCATCATGTTCAACCACTCGAAGGGACTTCTTCCTAATTCCTAATAATTGAAGGGTACTCTTGATACCATTAAGCCTCTCATACCGGCTACGTATAACAATGTGTGACATCGGGTGTGACCTTATTGGGAGGTCTGAGCAATATCGAAGGCGATAAGGGCTCGATTAGGGTGATCGAGTCAGTGAGCAGTGTAGAAAATGGGTGGTGAAGATGTTGATTCGGTGTGAATTTTGTGAGAAGATTCTCATATTGCCAGTAGCGTTATGACTGGAGTTCACCTATGAGAAATTTCAGAATTTTCCAGGTTCTCAGAATTTTCCTCAGAACAAAAAAAATTGAGTTCTAGCCTTGAGTAAACTGTGGTGATTTCAGGAGCCTAGATGAAGGGAGGGTTTAAAGACAGCGAACTATTTCCTACAAACCATAAATTATAAATTTGCTTCAAGAGCTCTGCACGCGTTAAACTGGTGGAGTGCGCAACATCCCTCTGAACATCTTATGAGCCAACTGAAAGAGCAAGAAAACGTACGTTTTCCCTCAAAATATGCCACAAGCCGGGATTTGAGCGATGGAATCGCTTTTCTTCTTGAATTCAGGCATACAATCTGCAATCTACAAAAAGAGCTATTTGTGAAGTATAGGCTCCTCCTTCGCTGAAACTAGGGATTAGCTCAGATTTGCTATTTTTCACTTTAAAAAGCCGCTTCCGTTCAAGATTGGCGCATGACCAAACTTTTCCATTTTATAATGGAAAAAATTGGTATTAAAATGATCAGTAAGACATGAGGAATGCGAGGTTTTTTTTGTTAAATTTTGGGATATGGTGGCTGTTCCACAACTCCCTGAGTACTTTCAATAGGACGGAAACTCCAGGTGACTTGCGACGTTCCCTCTGCCGACAGGGGAATTGCTGTACACTAAGTCCATCTCTTGTGAGCAAAATGAACGCTACCACCTTTTGGGTATTCCTCCGCATCCATTTCAATGTTTACTGCGCATTTATCCCTCCCCGAACGTTTCCTTTCTGGATAATCATACATTCACCCGCCATCTTCCACATAGAGCAGGTGGACCGTCATTTAGCCTTGGGCTGTTCCTGAACTGCAACCTCAACCTAGATGGAGCATGCCATAAGCATGGCATTCTTTTAATGCGTTTTGACAGATCTACTCTTTTCTGAGAGTCTTCCTACCAAAATATAACCATCTTCTATTCCGCCTACGCAGAGCAACCATACTCTATAATACGAACTGGTGCTATTGTAAGCCCGATAACCGTAAGGGCCCACAGTTCCAATTTAGCTCCCAAACCCATTTTCATGCAGATTCCGATGATCATGCAGTACCCCTACTAGGACGCTGTTCAAATTGCCCAACTCTCGCTTTTTATCACACTATTTCATTTTGTGAATATGCAAGTTACGCGTGATTCTGGAGTGAATCTATTTTACCCGTTTTCACCAGATCTAAGATTGTCCTCAGCTATCCGCTCATCAACATTTCTAGGTGAAAACTCCCGATGCTGAGTATTCTGCCAAGAATATCCAGATATTGTCTCTACCGTTGAACTTCTTTTTCTTACATCTTCATAATTCTTTTTCTTACTTCTTTATAAATCGTAAGAGATAATGGCGGAGGTGGCGTAGTGGAAAGCGGCCACTACACACACGCATAGTTCCAGGTGAGTTTGGATCCCGGATCACCAGTTAAGACCAACCGAGCCTTCCATCCCTCCGGGGTCGGTACAAGGCTCGTCAGAGACGTTAAAAGCAC